TTATATATATACATACATTTTTCATAATAAATATTCTCAACACATAATGACAAAGTATATCAAATTCATTTGCTCAATCAGTTTCGGGCCAATTGTAGAGAAGGTCTAGTGGCTACGTGCTCCACGGTGCAACACTCAGTTCTGACTGTTTTTAATTAGCGGCTGCGCGGCTCGCTATCAACTGAATGAGTCGCATCGAATTTCTTATCAATCGGGGAAACGAATGGCAATAATGGCAAGCAGCACGACGCGACGGTGTTCTTGTATTTTAGAACATTTATCTTGCGCCAACGTCAACTTATTTGACAGTTGGACCCGGCGCATTGCCACCTGAAGATGGCCAGAAAAATAGTGCATTTGCCGTCATGGAAGTTGATCTTTGTGGCCACAGCTCTGCTGCGGGCCCTGGTTGATGGCCAGAGTGCGGATAATGAGCAGAGCCACTCCACCGCAGTGGCCGGCATGGAGCAGCTGCTGCGCGTGGAGAGTGAGCTCATCGACAATCTGAGCAGCTACGCTGATGAGCTGGAGCAGAAGCTGAATGTGGTGCGCAGGTTGGTTAGCAGAGAGTCACGTAGGCCGTAGATCGAGCTCTATTAACTGAAAATCTACCCCAGCTTCGTTAAGCAAATGCGCAAGGAGAATGATAAGGCCTTGGACGATCCGGTTCACTATCTGTCGAATCCTCTGAATGCCTTTTCGCTCATACGGCGCATGCATCAGGACTGGACACACTGGCAGCACTACATGCAGCAGCCGGTGGGCGAGCAGCAGGTGAGCTATGTGCAGCTGAGGCGCGAGCAGCTGCCGAGCAGCACGGATATGGAGGAGGCCGGCGACGCCTTGCATCGCATACTCGTCACCTACGACTTGAACGTCTCCGACATGGCTCAGGGGCTGCTGAATGGCAAGAAGTACAAGTACGTAGCTTAGCTGCTTACAGAGCCACAAATCCATTATATAATCGATATATTCATTTGACCTTTGACCTTCCAGTGTCAGCTTGAATGCGCTGGACAGTTATGCCCTGGGCATGTACTACTATGACCAGCAGAAGTTTGGCTATGCCTGCCAATGGATATTCCAGGCCATCGAGTGGCTGCAAGGACCACACAAGCTGCCATTACCTCTGGAACTGGATCGTGCTGAGGTGTTCCACGTCTACGCCGAAGCGCTTATCAAAATGAGTGAGTTGCCGCTGATAACGGGCAGCTACTTTTACCGGCAGCTTAATTAATTTGGTTTCATTTTTAGATCGATACAAAGATGCTCTGCAGGTTCTCCACACGGCAGCAACTCTTAAAAAAGATAATTTAAAACTTTTGCTGCGAAAATCGGAGCTGGAAACGCTGATAAGAACGGAGCCAAATGTCGTACCCAAGAAGGTAGGGGCACTTTATGAAATTGAATCCCTCTTTCTTTTTCTATTTCTCTTTCCTTCTCTCTCTCTCACACACTATCTCTCTCTCTCTCTCTCTCTCTCTCTCTCTCTCTCTCTCTCTTGCTGGCAGTTCATTACGCCGCAAGCTCAAGCCTATGAGCGGGGCTGCCGTGGCCAGTACCCTCAGAACTCGAAGCTGCACTGCGTCTACAACAGCACCACTTCGGCCTTTCTGCGCCTGGCTCCACTGAAAATGGAGTTGATTTCACTGGATCCCTATATGGTGATATATCATGATGTCATAGCGCCCAGCGAGATCAGCGAGCTTCAGAGCCTGGCCGTGCCAGGCTTAAAGCGCGCAACGGTCTTCAGCCAGCAGAGCATGCGTAACCAAGTAGTCAAGACGCGAACCTCGAAGGTTACGTGGTTGCTGGACACACTAAACCAACTGACGATTCGCCTGAACAGACGCATTACTGACATGACGGGCTTCGACATGTATGGCTCGGAGATGTTGCAGGTCATGAACTATGGCCTCGGGGGGCACTACGACAAGCACTATGACTACTTCAACTCCAGCGTTGTGAGTGCATGAATCGACTCGCATGCAGCTTATCTCTAACACATTCCATTCTAGGCTGCCGATTTGACGAGACTCAATGGCGATCGCATCGCCACTGTGCTCTTTTATGTGAGTAAACGCATGGGCGTAGTTGCCTCTCTCTGATTTTCAATTTAATTCATCCCTAGCTAACCGATGTGGAGCAAGGAGGCGCCACGGTCTTTCCCAACATTGAGAAGGCCGTCTTTCCCAAAAGTGGAACAGCCGTTGTCTGGTACAATCTAAGGCACGACGGAAATGGAGATCCACAAACACTGCACGCCGCCTGCCCCGTTATAGTGGGCTCCAAGTGGGGTAAGTGTAACCTAAGTCCCTTCACATACATACATGGATGACACGACTCTACTTCACAGTTTGTAACAAGTGGATACGCGAACGACAACAAGTATTCCGAAGACCCTGTCTCGCAAATAGCAAGAACGTATAACCTTAACTAATCTAATTTATAGAATTAACTTATCTTAAATATAATCAAAATGCAATTTGCCATAAAGAATTATTCTTTGTGAATTTTCAAAGTCATCTCAACAAACTTTTAAATCGATAACTATCTCAATTATGTTTCCAAGTCAATAATTGAAATAAATACGTAAATTTATTAATTATGTGTTATTATTATTAGATCTATAAATTATAGAAAATTATTATAGCATAATGAGCCTACATGCATGGGCATTACTTTATATCACAAGAGTCTTATGGACGAAGAGAGCTAGAGACGAATTGCTCTCAGCGATTGATCGATCTCATTTTATAGATGTGATGTGTTCTAAAACTTCATAGTACGGAGAGCCTTTACTCATTGTGTTTTCTGTAGACAAAGCTGGCTTTGTGCCTTCGGCTTTTTCGGGAGAATCTCAAGCAGCGCAATGAAATCGACTGACTGGAAGTTATTTTATATAGCAATAATTTTACTGACCAATGGGACAGCAGCTTCACAAAATAATGTCTTCACCTCCTTGGAGGAAATGGTGAGATTGGTGCAGCTTGAGGCCGATTTCATAGAGAATCTCAACAGCTATGCGGATGAACTGGCAGCCAAACTGAAGAAATTGAAAAGGTCAGTCGACTAACGTGACCCACTTTATATATAGATGAAACGTATCAAATTTTCAGAGTCATTCCACAAATGCAGGCTCGGAGCAATGAGGCATTGCATCAAGTGGAGAATTATATATCCAATCCAATAAACGCCTTCTCACTCCTACGCCGGATGCATGAGGACTGGCAGGAATGGAATGTGTTCATGGAAACATCTGTCGGCCAATCGCAAGTGAACTTTTTTAACAAAGCGAGACAAGAGCTCCCAACTACAGCAGATCTGTATGAAGCTTGCTCCTCTATGTATCGCTTACAAAAGGCTTACAACTTAACTGTGAAGGATATGAGCAGGGGCATTCTCAATGGAAAGCAATACAAGTAAGTCCTCTGACTATTAAATTGAGGAGGAAGCTGACTTCAGCTGCTAATTGCTAACTGCAGCGCAAGCTTGAATGCCCTGGATACCTATGCCATGGGCAAATACCTGATTAAGGTGGATAGAGGCGTGGCTGGCGAGTGGTTCACGGAAACAAGCGAGTGGCTGAAGCAACACACACTTCAAACTCCAATCGGAGATGAACGCGAGAAGGTGCTACATCTCTTTGCTCAAGCAATCCTCGACTACAGTGAGTCTGTGGCTTCAACTTAGAATTTCATAAAGACTCCCTTTCCACGCCCTCCACTTAGAGTATTACTCGATCGCCCTAACAATTTTCGATCAAGCACTACTGTTGGCAAGCAACTCGACCGTACACTATTGAGTAAGAGAAGCAAAATTGAGGAGCTTTCCCGAGGGGAGGTCAAGGAGAAACCAAAAGCTAAAAGCGAGCCTACCGATTACGAAATCGGCTGTCGTGGTCAATACGTGCAGCAGTCCGGATTAATGTGCACGTATAAGTCGAAGAGTTCGGCATTTCTTCGTCTGGCGCCGATTAAAATGGAAGTTCTGGTCCTAGACCCGTTAGTTGTAATCTTCCATGACGTATTGTCCTCTAGGGAAATCGATGGGCTGCAAGAGATTGCAAGGCCTCATCTGCAACGCAGCTTGGTCGTTAAATACAGGGTCAGCGTTCAAGGGAAGCATCGCATTTCGGCGGGTACGTGGGTCGAACGGAAATACAACAATCTGACATGGCGCATTGAGAGGCGTATCGCGGATATGGTCGATCTGAACTTGGAAGGCTCAGAGCCGTTTTATGTAATAAACTATGGCATAGGTGGTCAGTACAAAGCCCACTGCGATTTCTTCGAAGACCATACCGTAAATATATCGAACTCTGTGTAATCGCAGTCCTAATTACATAGCGTTTTCCTTTCAGGTTGAGGACAATCGTTTAGCTACGATTTTATTTTATGTGTGTGAGCTCTCGTAAGGTATATTTATCCTGTACTAATCACAGCACTCTCACCGATAGATGAATGATGTTGAGCAAGGGGGCGCCACAGTATTCCCTCGCCTTGGGCAGGCTGTGAGAGCTAAGCGCGGAAATGCCCTCTTTTGGTACAACATGCAACATAATGGAACTGTTGACAGCAGAACCCTGCATGGCGGCTGTCCCATCCTAGTTGGTTCCAAATGGAGTAATGTGCCTGAAAATCGCATAATGTTCTTTACCCGACTAAAATCCCGTATTTCCAACAGTATTTACTCAGTGGATATCCGACCTTCCGAACATGTTTCACCGACTGTGTCGAAAGCAGGAGCCGAATGCAGCTTAAAGAATAATGATTGAGGATAACTCCACAGTACTGGGATGTGTCCATCATGTAATGGGAGAAGGCATTAAATAACGTTTATTCAACTATAAGCAAATTCTAAATTCGACATTCGTATACCCGATTCGCTGAAATACCTCAATGTATTCTAAATTTTGTTAACGTTTTATAGAAATATTCAATTGGAATAAAAAGACGTATACTAAATGAATTACTAGTTTAATTGGGCTGGCGCTCTAATAACTGCCAATAAACATGTCGTTTAGTTAGGACTTACACTCTGCTCTATGTAAGACTGTGGGACGGGGAGACGGACTATTTCGGTCGACCCACACGTATGCGGAGTCATAGACAAACAAATTTCCGGCGTAATCACTTTGCACACTTAACAAAAACCAACACGAGACCCGAGCCAGCTCATCCCAGCCCCTACCTTTTGTGGCTTAAATGCTTTTTAAAATGCCAACATGGAAAAAATAAAGTGCTGAGTGGTTGATAGTCGTTCGCCTGGCCCTAGGGCTGAGGTACGTTCAGGGCTAGGTAAGCGCCAAGCGGAGTTTTAGCATACTCCTAGGCGCCAACCACCGCCACCGCCACCACCACGACCCACGTCCACGCCAACGGGCGTCTAGTGTCTGACACCGCGTACGTGACGTGCAACTTAATGTTTCAATTAGAGGTGAAGTGGCGCCCACGTTGACTGAATGAACCGTGGTGGCAGCCGCCTCCTGCTTACGTTATCCTTATCGCTGCCTTGTTAAACAGCTTGTGTGTGAGTCTGTGTGTGTGTGGGTGTGTGTGTTTGTGTATCAGTGCTTAGTATCTCTATCAGTCTGTGCACTTATCTGCTTTTAAAAGTTTTCATAATGAACTGGCGCTTACCACGAAGCAACGTGTGCGTTAGCGACTGATGCTCCCGATTAAATCTAGCTCCAACTTCTGACCCCACTCTAGCTCCCACTTCAGGCCCCACTTCAGCTTTGGCTGCACTCGGCTGCTGACTAAGCACTTTTGATAATTTGCTTACCATCCACTCGCCGTAAAAGGTGCGCTAGTTTCTTCTCTTCACTCGTTTTTTATGAAAGGGTCAGCTGGAGCTGTGCAGTGCAGCATGGCTAATGCGTAGATTTAATTGAATTTCGCAACTGAAACAAACTCAAATAAAACTTTGGCTTGACCACAAATGGGAATATTTTGGGGCAGCTGCAAAGTTTGAGCAGCTCAGCAGCTTCAAAGATTTCTGATTAAAGTTTTGACAAAGCAGCAACCAAAAGGCCAGCAGCCTTGGAAATTCTTTGCCATGCGCCCGCCTCGAACACCTTTAACAAGAGCCAACTCATCGACAGCCAAAACACCGAAATTGCTAGCATATGCGAAATGCAAACTAGTTGTAAGGCCATAGCCGAACCACCAATGCGCTGCAATCGAAATTTATGGAGATTCTGTGATGTGTATAACAAGGGAAGATTTCACATTTGATATATGATTTGTTGTCTATAGAGCAGCAGAGCTCAATGTCCCACAGGTAGATCATTGTGCAGTCGACTCGGTGCGGTCGAGTGTGTGGATGGAAACGTAGCTAAAACGTATTTCATTTTGATTGTGTGCACTTTATGATACTCCCAGCACCACACAGAGATGATTACATATGCGCAGACCAATAATTTTTGCCCACCACACACACACAAGCACACACACACACGCATGCACAGAGGGAAAAGGAGCAGAAATAAAATAAATAAATGGAATAAAAATCAAACAAGGTTAAGAAATGTCGGCTGTAAGGCTGATTGTGGAAATCTAGCAAAATGTTTTATGCACAGGCCAACAAAAAAAAATTGTCAAAAAAAAAAAGAAAGAAAGAGAAAACGAAAATAAAAGGGTTGCAGACTCACACACATTTTGTGGTCAATGAAGGAAATATGATTTGGATTTTGCTACTTTGATTACACACATTACATGCGAAATATGAAAAACGTAGCCAAGGCAGACGCTCCCAGACGTTCCCAGACCCAGGGCCCAGGCAATGAGGTCAACGGTGGCGGTGACCAAGTGGGTGCCGTGCCACAACGTGTGCTCAATTTCAGGGAGGCCAGCGCCGAGCTCTCCGGGTGTGGCTGGATGTGGGGACCAACGCGCGGCCGTAAAGCATTTGATGTGCCAGTGTCCGTCGCAGGAAATTGAGTTTTTCGTACAGCTGTACAGAAACACACCCACACACAGACGCAAACACATATCTGAGTGTGTGCGCCTATGTGTGTGTGTGTGTAATGTAAATAATAGCCAGCAAAAAGCACAAGAAATTTATGCACGCACTCAAGCGCACAAATTCGCTTGGCGCGTCGTCTTCGTCTTCTTCTTCTTCGTTTCTTCGGTCTACGCAGCAGCCGCATCGCACTCTCAGGGTCAATTTGAGTCTATGCACACACTGAGTGCTGAGAGTTAAATGATTTTGCCAGCTAAAGTGTCTGAAGTGTATACATATGCAAATGAAAAGTACATAGAATACCTTAATATATTTGAATAGCTTAATATGTACATGTAAATATATATACGAAGCTGTATTGTCTTTATTTTACTGTTGCTTATTTATTGTTGATCTAATAATTTGAAAGGTAAAAATATTTCTTATCATCTATATATTTATTCTATTTTGTTTATATAATATTCTAATTGATTTATTCGTTCTTTTTTATTATTGTACGTTATTTATTTACTTGGTATTATGTTCCTAATATTAATTTTATATTAGGAAAGTTATTCTGGTTTTTCATTCAACATTTTAAAGTTTTTCTTTTATTTTTATTTATTTTATTTTGTATTATTTTTAATTTATTTATCTTTTT